ATTGTTAACAAGAAGGTATATATTTACGCAAATAGGTACGTACGTACGTACGTACATCTAGGGGAGTGTAACAGTTTAAATTCAGCGTACAAGCCTCAGACACCATAATCTTCAACAGATTGGTTTGTTATTTTTTTCCCTTTGTTCCAGACTTCGATTTTTTTTCTTGTACCAGCATCATTTAACCAAATGATTGCTGAAACTAAATAATTGTTTTATAGATATTACCAAGAAGCTAAGAATTTTTAATTGAAATGGGTCCATTTTATGATTAAATTTGTTATGCACACTTCAATCCAGATAAACTGGATAACTAAACTGGCGCATTTGTTTATTGTTCTTTGCTCATGTTTCAAAATTTGGATAGATCATGTCAAATAATGTAGCATGTGGAGCAAATCTTACCTAAAATAGTCAAGCAGTAATTTACTCAGATATCCAAAAAAAGTTCTTTTCGTTTTGAAAAGTCAATTCGCTGCATCCCTTGTTTTCATTGACGAGTCTGAGACACGTGACACAACATGCGTTTTGTAAAATTTCCTTTTTTGTTTCTACATACAAATTTTTTTTTATTCCTTACACTGCCGTTTAACTCTTAAATATTTGTCCAAAAAATTTTTCTAACCCAATTTTAATTCAAGCTTGGCTCTTCCTGTTAAGAGCTCTATTAAAGCGTGTAAATTTTTTTTTTTTTTTTACCTTCTTTTTAATAATAAATCTACATCAAAAAAATGTCTTTACCAGAAGGATGGATACAACGGGTAAGCAGATAAGATAATTATAAAGTATTTAATCGATTTACGATTGTTCTTAGTTTGAAATTTTTCGTTTACAATTTATAGTTCGATCCAAATCACAAACGGTATTATTGTAAGTCTATTTCTCAACTTATGTCCTGATTGCTATGCATATATAATTTATAATAACATTATTATTGTAGATATTGATATCAAAAATAAGACAACCACTTGGGTAAGTTCATTCTCTTTTTTTAAAAAAAGACGTTTGATTCAAAGAAATGTGTTTCTCATAATGTACAATAAATAGGATGATCCACGCCAACAAGGAAATGTTCAACTTCAGCAAAAACAAGAAATAGTTAATCCTGTTCCTGATAGTCCGTATCAACAGTCACCAACAAGTATCCAACAACCACAACAAATTATTACTGCTATGCCCGTCCCCCAAAAGGATATCCCTGTTGTAGATGATCAATTTCAAAAACAACAAATCGTTATGCCCGTCCCCCAAAAGGATATCCCTGTTGTAGATGATCAATTTCAAAAACAACAAATCGTTATGCCAGTCCCCCAAAAGGCTGAAGATGATCAATTTAAAAAACAACAAATTGTTAATCCTATTCCTGTTCCCCAAAAGGATTTCCCCGTTGTAGATGATCAATTTAAAAAACAACAAAACGTTAATACTATTCCTGGTGGACAGTATCAACAACCAATCGTTAATGCTATTCCTGCTGATGGTCAGCATCAAGAATCATCAAGAAGTATTCAACAACAACCACAACAGCAACAACATAATATCTTTAATGCTAGTCCTGTCGATGATCAGTATCAACAAACAAGAAGTATTCAACAACAGCAGCAACAAAATATCGGTAATGCTAATCCCATGGGTGGACAATATCAACAACAAAACCAAAATATCATTAATGCTGTTCCCATGGGTGGACAATATCAGCAGCAACAACAATATTCTGCCCCCATTGGTGGACAATATCAGCAGCAACAACAAAATTCGGCACCCATTGGTGGACAATATCAGCAGCAACAACAAAATTCTGCTCCCATTAATGGACAATATCAGCAACAACAACAACAACAACAACCGAATACCGTCAATAATATTCCCATGGGTGGACAATATCAAAATTACGCTCAACCTCAACAACCACAAGTCGTTAATAATGGTCAATATCAACAACCACAAGTCGTTAATGGTGGTCAATATCAACAACCACAACTCGTTAATGGTGGTCAATTTCAACAACAAATAATTCAGCATCAGCAAAAAACCGTAATAACTAATGTTAACCCTCCAGCTTATAATAATGGTATTCAACAACCGCAACAATATAATCAAATGACTGGAAATTTTAATGGAAATCAAGGCATGATGCCTAATCAAATGAATAATGGTGGTCAAATGACTGGAAATCAAGGCATGATGCCTAATCAAATGAATAATGGTGGTCAAATAACTGGAAATCAAGGCATGATGCCTGGTTATCCTAATAAACAGGAAAAATTTCATGTGGGTCATACAAATGCTTTAAACGTTCATTTCGTGGAAAAAATTCCTGTAATGGAAAAAATTACAAAAAAATCTCAAAAAGGTATTAAC